GTAAATGCACTATTTCTGAGACTTAAAATCTTTTTATTTTTCATGGTCATACATCTCGATGTCGAGATGATCAATCAAAGGGTTTTTTCAATATTATAACTATCTTTTCCGATGGATTTTTGAGGTGCATCCGTAGCTGTAGAGGTAAGGTTGCAACCTATATAAACTTTTTCCTTTAACAATTACTTCATTCACGTTACATTTCGGAAAACCTTTAGTTTGAGCGAGTACTATTTTTCCACTGATTACTTTGGAGAAAGTTCCCTGGTTTTACATTAACTTATTCAAGAAGTGACGTCAATTGTGATGTGAGAGGTAACAATGTTTATTTGCTGGACAGATACAAGCTGCCATAGTGAAGCTTAAAAGACAGCTCAATATGCTTGAGTCTCAAGCTCAACAGACAAGACCTAGTTCTGATCAGTGAACTGTATGGAGTTTCCTCATTGGGTCTGTTGCATGGGGTTTAAGACTCACCAAGTTTTATACTCGTACTCCTCCTCCTCCTCATCCTACTCTCTCACTCTCTCTCTACCCGTTTAACACACATGTATGTATTTGATTAAACATTGACATGTCTCTCTCATCCTACCCATCTAAAGCATGTGTATGACGCAAGTGATGAAAAGATATCTATTTTCAGTTTGATTGAGATCAATTTGGTCATCTATCTTCATTTAGCAGTAGCTGGACATCCTATTTTGAGTTGAGAATCCATTGTTCGGCTTTAGTTAACGTGATCTATGTCTAACAAGGCGAAGGTGTGGAAGAATTTTGTAGTGAATGGCATGAATATGTGTTTTGTCTCTATTTTAAATGTGGGACTGGCTTTGTTACTTATAATAATTTATTGAGCTATCTGAATAAAGTTGGGATAATGCTCGGATGATGATGTTGATAATGATGACGTGCTATTTGTATAAAATGTATTTAGTAATTGTTTGAGAAATGCTAGGTTAGCGCTTCGGAAACTGTTTTCTCTTTTCTTCTCCTTTACTTTGAATCATCATTGTCATATGGATGGGAACTTATAAAGAAGACCTAGTAAAACTCCAATTTTGAAAATCCGACTCATAAGATTGCCATATGGATGAATTCTATAAAAGACATGGCTACCATGTGGGCATTAGTAACTCGAGCTACCGAGTGCCCACTTAGTTGATTGGTGGTGATTGAAGGAAAATTGTTTTATGCAGGCTGGACCGCTCTAAAGATGGATGCAAATAGGAGGTCCATCTAAAAACAATTGAAACTAACGGTCCAAATATTTTTTTAATAAAATTATTATTTTAATTTTTAAAATTAATTTATTTTTCGACATTCATGATCTCCATGTTAGAGATTACATGTTCTTAAAAATTAAGTCTAAAAATTCATCTCCAAAATAGATTTTTAAGAGTGTCTCGGGGATTGAACTTTTTCCCTCTAAAAATAGCATGTGCATCTTGACTTACCCCTGGTCAACATACCCATGCATATTTAAATAGCTATTGACGTTCCCATGCATATTGCCTAGGGCTAAGTCAATATGCACACGCTAGAAGGAAAACTTCATTGCCCCCAGAACTTGAGCCGCCCACCATCATCATGACTAGCCGAAATCAGCCGAGCTAAGCCAAGTCCAGCCCGGCCGAGCCGAAATCAGTGCCAAGCTGAGTCGAAAAAGCATCTCGTTCTTTTTCCTTTCATCTAAGTAGTTCTTTTTGTACTCTCTTTGGGATTCTTGTTGGATATTCAGAAACAGATGAAAACCCCATCCTCTATAAGGCGGATGACAAGGGCTGCTTTGAATGCCTCATCTTCATCAAGTGAGTTATACGATTCAACTCTCTTTCTCTCTCTTTATCTCCCCCTTTTTTTTATCAGGCTGAGATTCTTTCCTGTTAATATGGTAAAACCCGCATACCAAAAAGAAAGGGTAACACCCATAATTTATTGAGGTTTTCTCTCTAGAGATCCTTTTTGAGGACATTAAAATCCATTATTTATTTACCTTTTCTGACATCTTTCTACCCTACATCTTACTTGTTTCAGAAACAGGGCATGTAATGCATTTTGGGACCATCAATTTTCAAGAGCTGAAGAAATGGGGATAGCAGCTTTGATTGGCATAACAAATGATTCACCTATTGTGGGTTTAGCACTTGGTTAAAGAAAAAACCAAGAAACCCCTGCTTCGAGTACAAAGAAACATAACCCCCAAAATAAAAAATGAAGACCCCGGCTTCAGGAGAAGCCCTTATTTGATGCCAAGTGAGATCCCTTTTGCTGAGGGTTGAAGAAGGCAGCCAGTTCATCTGAGTTCAGATAGTTTGCTCCCACTTGGCCTTCAATCACTCTTTGTTTCTCCATCTAGGCTATTGGCACCAACTCCTGCGAGCAATATTCCTTTTTATTGGAGTATTGAGGTTATGTAACTACTTAGGTTGTATTTATCTTTCTGTTAGCTGTTAACGGTTTGCAAGTCTGTTATTCCCTTTTCTGAATTTAACTGTGGATCATGTGCTTCATTTCTGCCTTCCAGAGCTTGTCATATCATATTGATTGTATTTAATTTCCAACATTTGTTTCTTTTCTGATATTCATTGTGAAGAATCTTATCTCAATGTAACAGGGGATTGCTGAAGATGGTTTTTGTTAATTGGGTTTGCACTAAATTCACAAACCTTTGATCTACTTCTGAAATTAAGATATGGATGGGAAATCCTTTTTGCAGGTTTCTCATTCAGTTGTATTCAATTTGCAATCCTTTGTTTCCATTGCGGACAGTATTTTTTCGAAGTTCTATATAATCGGAGCATTGTGGATTGGTTGGCTTGCAAGTCTTTGCATCTTCTTTCCTCCAATTCAATACTTTTCTATTAGATTGAGTGGCCCAAATACTTGTGGTTGAGTCGACAGGATAGTTCTATTAATGTTGCTGATTCTTTTTCATTCTCAAAAAATGGTGCTGCTTTTTTTTACTTGGGTCTTGCAGGGGCTAGTGTCTTTATTTTGGGTTCTGTCTTTTTGAAAGTCTTGGATTCTACTTTTCTAAAATTGAATATGGCTGGCTATTACTTCTTTTAATCTGGGTGGTTATTGCTTTTCCAAAATTGAATATGGATGGCTATCACTTCTTTTAAACTGAGTTTTGTAGAGGACAGTTTTTACAGTTGGTGTTTAATCTGTAATCTTTTACTTCAACGGGTCTTACGTTGGGCTGCCTGGTGCGCAACTCTTTTGATTCTTTTTTTCTCAAATCAAATACATCTTTGGGTTAAGGGAACTACATTTTTCAAAGGATCTTTGCAAAAGGACGTTTTGAATTCACATTTCGCTTTCTCTGAAAGTTAATAAGGATAGTTATTTCTATTGTTATATATCTGTCGTATGTAACTGCCTTGCCTTTAATTATTTATCCTGTGTTTCTTTTTTCTGAATTTCACTATGGATAATGTCATTTCAATGTCTGTCAGAGGTTATAGGCTAACAAGTATATGTAGTGTTATTTCTGCTGTTTTTTGTGAATGGGTCTTGTAGCGAAGGCCTGTTTCATTTTGGGTGGTGGTCAATTTTGTTAAAGTTGGGCTTGCACTCTGTTGCTTCTTTTCTATATCACCCATTTATGAAATTATGGTTTCTGGATGAATTGATTTGGTGGTGGCTAGCTTGAGCCAAGATTTTGTGGTGGTGGTTTCTCATGAAATTCCAATAATTACCAGAGCATTACTATTTTATGACCTATATTGAACCACTATCTCCATAGGGTCGTTGAGATCATTTTATGGTTGAGTATCTACAATCTGGTTGCATGAGGATATTTGCCTCTGCTGTAAAGTTCCCTTTTCAATTTATGTTCATAAGATTCTTATGACAAGGTGGTAGAAGCGCTGTGCATGTGTAGTTTCCATGGCACGTGTATGTATGGATACCATTCGCAATTGTTTTATAGATATATACATTGAAATTCCCTAACACCTTGCAAAATTCTCCTATGTGAATAGGGAATCTTTTTGGCATCAATTTTGAACAAAAAAAAAAAGAGATGGGTGCCAAAACTTGGATCCTAAGTGCCAGCCTTTTCTAGGAAATGCTTTGTGAAGCACATGTTAGAGAGATAAACAAGAGAATTAAAATATGAAACTAGATCTACTATAACTTCAATATAAAAAAGATCAGAATGAATAAATGCTAGTAAGAGAAAGTTTGTGAGAGAAACAAAAGAAGTTATTATGAATCAGTGCCATTCGTGCCATTCTTGATCTTCTCGCTGGAACCTGCATTAGATTCTCTCGCTGGAACCTGCATTAGATTCTGTAATAAGAGAGATGAAGGACTAAAAAAAGGAAACCTCCATAAAAAGGCACAACAGAATGGAGAGAAAAAACAATGAGAAATGCGTTAGATTCTGTAATAAGAGAGATGAAGAACTAACAAAAGGAAACCTCCATAAAAAGGCACAACAGAATGGAGAGAAAAAACAATGAGAAAAACATATAGTGGAATGTAGTCTAAAGAGAGAAAAACCCAGAGAGAAGCACCAAAGAAGCCATATAATGGAACAAAATGTAAAGAGAGGAACACCAAACATACCCATCCATGTATAGTTTCTGGAGAGAGAGAGAGAGAGAGAGAGAGAGAGAGAGAGAGAGAGAGAGAGAGAGAGAGAGAGAGAGAGAGAGAGAGAGAGAGAGAGAGAGAGAGAGAGAGAGA